CCCCCCCCTTACCCTCTTTTTCTATTTTTTCTTCTTTTTATCTTTGTTTTTGTTTTTGTTTGGTTAGAAATATTCTGGGACCATAAATCACTAGGTCTTCAAACCTGAACCAAAATGAATGCTGCTCTTTCAGAGCTGACGTTGTGTGGTCTGGTGAAGGAAGCACTGTTTTACACTTGATTTACAAAAAAAAAAAAAAAAAAAACATGGGTTGACTGTGCTTTTACTGTCACTTTGTGGTTCGAGGCAGTGAGAGGCAGTGAGTTGTACCAGGAGCAGCAGACAAGCAGATTGTGAACTAAGAATGTCAATCTGCCTCCGGAGCCCTCCTTGGTGGCACTTGGTCGGTGCCACACACTGCGCATCATTTAGTGTGCTAGCCATCCACGACTCACAGAACTGCAGGCTGTGCCGCTGGAACAGAGCTTTCCTTACCTGCCTGCAGAGTAAGGAGGAATCAGGAGATTCACAGAATATCTCTTCCTGCTGCCCAGGGCAGAGGCTGGCTTAGGAAAAGAGACTTTGGCCAGGCTACTCAGCTGTTGGGCTGGTGGAAGTAATTTCTTTGAGGTCTCTTCAGATTTATCAGGTTTCTGACAATTACTTTTTCATATAAGTAGTGATTTTGCAAACAAATAGCATAGGTAAATTACTAATGTCATTAAAGATTTTTTAAAGCAAATTTTCCACTTTTAAAATACATAGTGATATATACTGTTTGTAGATATTTTTTAGTTTGCAATGTTCCACAAAAGCAATCTAGAAAAACTGAATTTTGCATTCATACTTTCACCAAAAAAACAGGATCCTTCATAATAAAAGTTTCTAGTTAATATCACTGATGTTATAGGCAGTTTTAGATAGTTAATGCTAGAATGCATTGTTTTCTCTTCAAGAAAAAAAATAAATATCCTGGTTTTATTTTTTTTTTCCTGTAGGTCATGGAAATACACAGAGGGTAAGTACTATCCAGCAATATAAACCTATCCTTTTTTAGCAAATAATTACAAGTTTAGTGAAACTTTCAACACATTAGACAATTACCTGCAGATTTCATCCAGTCTATCCACAGTAAGTAAGTTGTAGAAGCAGCTATTTGTTGTGAAGGATAGAAATAAAATCAGAGAAGCAGAGTAAACTGGAACAAATTATCAAAGCTGGCTAGACACCAAAAACTGATTTAAAAAAAGTGAAAATGCAAAACTATCCCTTCTATTACCACTGATATTTCATTTCACTGGAATTTTCCAGAAATAATAGAAATAATGACCCTGTTCCATTCTGGTAATAGAATATTTCAGTTAATATTTCAGTTAATCACAGATTTTTATCAATATGATTAAGCACCTGGATATATAAGGACTAAGACAATCTCTTAGACCCTAATCTGAGTCCCGTTTAGATCCTTAGCATTCCAGTTTAAATAGGGCTAACCCTGACCCCTTCATGATGGCAGTGCAATCATCAGCAATGATAAAAACTTTACAGGACACACTTTGCAATTAAAACATTCACTTTGAAGCACATTAAGCAACCTGCTTGGGTGATTCTAACAATCCATGGCTTCATAAGTATGCTATTGTAAAAAAAAACAGCAGAAATAAAACAATAGTTTGTTTGAATAATGGAGTAACTTGTTTTGGGAAGAATAAGGGTATTTGCATTTTCTATGAATGTTTCTTATATAGTTTGTATGAAGCTTATATAGCAGACCAAGTTTCTTCATGTCTTTTCAACTGTACTTAGACCATTGAAAACTGATTATTTTTTTATAGGGTCAAGAAAGTGATGGAGAGATGTATGAAGACATTAATGACATCAGGTAATAATTCTAAACTCTATAACCCATTCTATCTTTATTATTATCTTTTCTAATAAGTGTATTTCATTTGGTATAAAAGTGCCATTCTGCTGCAGTCCCTGCAAGGAATTACTGTCTTCATTCATTTCACCTGGATAAAGTCTGTCTGCTCACAGGTTCTTTCCCAGTTAAACCTGCCATGCCCTGGCAAACCTGGCATGGCAAAACTCCTGCAATTAAATAATGAAGTTACTGTGATTGAGGTAACAGAGCTCTGATTTCTGATCTAAGGAGTATTTCTGAACCACTGGTTGGAATTACAGCCTAGGAGAAGAAATAAGCTCAGCCCCAAGGTATTATGGTCCCAGATAGATCTTTTGTTGTGGTTTTGTTTTGTTTTGTTTTTTGGTTGTTTTTTGTTTGTTGTTTTTTTGTTGTTGTTGTTGTTTTTGTTTGTTTGGATTTTTTTTGTTGTTGTTGTTTTTTGGGTTTTTTTGTTTTTTTGGTTTTTTAATTGCTTTTCAGATAAATGTTCTTAGAACTCCTATGAGACTCTGGATTCAAAATTTTCATTGCCTGAGTCAACTAGCTACAGAGACTGAATACAAGCTCTGCTTATTCTTCTTCCACTTAGACCTTTCCTTTGATGACTCTCTCTGCCCTGGTAATATCTAAATCTATGGGATTTACAGTGTTACAATAGCCAAAGAAAAACTCTAATTCTCCCTGAATAAGTAATTGATGTAGAATATTTCAGATGTACAACAATTTTCAGCAAAAATTTATTGTTGAATTCCCTTTGATTTATAGCCCAAGTGATTCTCATTTCAGGCTTTTTTTTTTTAGCAATTTGAGCCTACCTGTTTAGTAGGCTTGAATGTAGTAAATATAGTATACCTGTATAGTAGGCTTGAATATTTTTTCCCCCAAAAATATTGGGGGAAAAAAAAAAAAAAAAAAAAAAAAAAAAAAAAAAAAAAAAAAAAAAAAAAAAAGGAGTTTCACCAGATCAGTTCCATAGGGTTTCTAAAACACAGGTCTTCCAGAGCTGGAGGTGTAGGACTAATTCCATCCCAAATTCCCAAACCCAGTACCTTCCAGTACAAAAGGCACAGCAGATAATGTACCCTGGTGTGAAAAAATGAGTACAAAGACTGACTCATTGTGTACACTGCTGGAATAGGTTGCAATCAATTTTAAAAACACAGTTCAGTGGCAGCTCAGGTCTCAGTTCAGCCTGCATCAACCACTGGTGGCATGGGTAAGTATTTAACAGCTGCATCCAGTACAACACCCAGACTGTTGTCAGTTCACAAGCATGCTCAACAAAATTATCTCAGAGACATTTGGACACACAGATGTGGAGGCAGATAATCTTGTCTGGTGTGTTGTCCTCATGAGGGCAGGCACTGTAACTTACAAATGTAGTAAAGGACTCCTTACTCTACCTGTTGTAGCTGCATTATGGTTTAGAATCTGTAGCTTTGATTTCAATTGGAGGAGTCTTTTTTCATCACCAGCAGTTTTTTGTCAGCCTTGGGTATGGAAGATTTTCTTCACACATTTTGTCCTGGCAATGCACTTTCAGATCATCAAGGGGAAAAGAGAAGAAGCAGGACAAAGAAGATAAGAGAAGAATGGACCAAGAGAAGATAGGACAAAAGGAAAAAGACAAGAAAGAGCTTGAACTAAGGAAAAAGTTCAAAGTAAGCTTTTTATTTGGTAATGTGGACAAAGGTATGCAAGCAGCATTATTTAGCATTGTCAAGTTCAAAATAGACTTTTCACCTGGCTACAAAACTATTTGTTATGGTAGGTAGTTCAAACACCTGCATAAATTCTGAATTAGGGTTTAAGCTATTTTTTTTTGTTTGGCATATGTTTGAATGCAAGGTCTGTGCTGATGGATGGCAAAGACTGTTTGCTTACTGTTTTCATTAAATTACTTTCTTGCCTTTTTTCTATGTAAGAAAGTGTTAAAATCATTAAAATTGTTAAAATTGTTAAAATCATTCACTGTAGTAAGGTACAAAAGAATTTAGCCCTTTAAATATTTCAAAATTGTATTGCAATACACTGCCCTTGCCTTGGTAGAAGGAGACTTACAGTGAATTCCAGGCTAAATGAGGAGGTTGAAAATCAGACTTGTATAGGAGAGCTACTGTCATTCTCTGGGGCTAAATGATGAGACAATTTTTTCTGTCTTAAATCATTTTTGCATAGCTGGTGGTCAGCACGCTCTCACAGTTTACAAGTCTGCCAGTCAGTTTTTCTTAACTAATGCCCATTCACAATTCTCCATTCTGGTACTTTCAGTGTCACTGTACACAGTGGGCAGCTTTGTTTTTCTTCCTGTAATGCTCTGTACACATAAAGCCATAGTGATTCACATCATTGACTTGGTCTGCTGTGGAGAGCCTGACATGAATTAAGAAGCAAATATTAAAGGTACACATAGTTATAATAGTGAGTTATCTGGTGTTTATTGGGTGCCAAGTCTATTTTTTAGACCAGTCACAAGAAGTGTAGACATTTAGTGCACAGAAATCTTTTAGCTTATAGACTGTGCTCCTGCAGCCATTAAGGTATTTTATTATTCTTTTAAACAAATATCTTTTAATGCACATTTTCTTTCCCATTTATTGGCCACTTATACAGGATAGATATTCCTGAGTTAGTCTAATTGACAAGAGCAATATGCCTCTGAAAGACATATCTTAAAGTCACAAATATTAAATCCCAAAATGGCTTCTTCATAACATAACATAAACACGTCACAAAGTGAATCCTGGACATCAGTAAACAGTGAGATCATCTCTTGTGAGTACTTGCAAGATCATTTATAGAGTAGAATAGTAAATACAAAGTATTACATGGCAGATTCATTAACATTAATGTTAATTTATATTTACTCATAGGACTTTTGTCAGGAATAGTGTGGCCAGCAGGATCAGGGATTGTCTGACTGTCCCTGGGAGTTGTAGCCAAGTGGGCATCAGTGTCTTCTCCCAAGTAACAAGGAATAGGAAAAGAGGAAATGGCCTCAAGTTGTTACCAGGAATGTTTAGTTAAATATTAGGAAAAATTTCTTCATGGGTTGAAGAAATTTCTTCATGTGTTGAAGAAAATGAAATCCTTCATTTCTTCAAGGATTGCAAAGGATTGGAAGAGGTGCCCAGTGAAGTGGTAGAATCACTCTGTGTGAAGGTATTTAGAACATCTGTAGACGTGGTGCTTAGGGACATGGTTTAGCTGAACTTGGCAGTGTTAGGTTAATGGTAGATCTCAGTGACCTTAGAGGTCTTTTCCAGCCTAATATATTCTATAATTCTCTGAGTAGTTCTGCTGGAAATAAATGGAAACACCCATTGAAATTAAATGCATCTGTTTCATGAACTCATTAAAGGTGTCATAGGCTAATCTTAGTATTTCTGTGATTTTGCCAGTCAGTTCTTCAATTGCACTATTGCCATGCCATTCCCCTCTCTTTTAGTCTCTGATTTTTAGTTTAAATTGTGTAATTCGAACAGGAGGAAGCCTTTTTGTTTATTTGGGAACAGTATTTCAAATGTCAATGAAACAACCATCATTATCATCATTTTTTACTTTTTTTTCTGAATGTCTGGGAAAGAACTCCATTTTTCCACAACTGTGATGTCTTCCGTTTCTTCTTCAGTTAACAGGACCCATCGAAGTCCTTCATCAGGCACGGGCTTGCATTAACTACAAGGGAGGGAGGAATGAACTGACTGTCAAACAGGGGGATAAGATTGAAATCATTCGCCTCACAAACAACCCAGAAGGAAAGTGGCTGGGCAGGATAAAAGGATGCTGTGAGTTCTCTTTCTTCACTGTGCTCCTGAATGTTTTCACTGCATGACAGCAAACATGTGAGCATTACACCAAGGACTAGCCCTATCATGTCTGAGTCACTGGCCACCAAAGTAAATAATTACCCCAAGTCACCTAGTTCATAGCAGGAAGTTATTGCACAACATAATGTAACACCTATAGGCACTGGAATAAGTTAGGCACAGCATGCTGGGACCTTCACCTGACATACTGAGGGTTAATTCCCTGTCAGCAGCCTTCAAATAGCATCAGAACTCCGCTTCCTGCAAGTAACAAGTATCATGTTTTTTCATGTCTTTGTATTAAATGTAACATGGGTGTTCTTAAAATAGAATTAGAGACTATAAGGACCTGTTTTAAGTGTTTTTCTTGTTCCTATTCCTATGGAAGGTTTCTAACTGACTTCCAGGTTTTATTTTCTCTGAAATCCTAGATTCTTCTCCTGTTAAGGTGTAAGTACAATCAGTGGATCTTTGAGTATAAAGAGGTTGATTATCTGGCTCCTGGGTTATAAAAGGTTGATCTATAAAATCAAACAGAATTATTAAAAGCATTTTCTTGATCTTTAGGGGAACTAAAATGCCAATAAAATTAGTAAGACAGTTCACACATGTAGAAGAGTGTTCTACAAGATTGTAGATGATACCAGCTGAGCAGCTTGTATCTTACTATACAGATAGTATGGAGCTGAGTGTCTTTCATACAAAGAGAATCTGAGAGCTGGGGCTGCTGAAAGGAAAATTAAGGGGTGTCTTATAGTTGTTCACAAATACCTGGTGGGAGGACGTAAAGAAAATGGTGCCAGGCTCTTTCCATTTGCCGAGTGACTTTGCATGAGGCAAAAGGCACATACTGAAACACAAGGGTTCTATTTGAACAGCAGAAAACACTTTTTTTACTTTGAGGGTGACCAAGTAAGGGAAAATGTTGCTCAGAGAGGTGGTAGAGTCTCCATCTGTGGAGATCTTCAAAACCTGACAGGACACAGTCCTAGCCAACTTGCTCTAATGGAGGATCATGTTTGTTTAGAGAGATGGGCCAAGAATATCTCAAGAGGCAAGTTCCAATAACAACTTTTCCATGATACCTTGAAGTTGTGAGTCAACTATTGTTGTGAGACAAATAAGTCAATTATCTTAACCATTTTGTACACAGAAAATCAAACCTTGGTGAGGGTTGGGAGAAGGGTATTTTCCAGTGCATGTGCAGTCCATTAATTAATTTACTTTTCATTAATTAATTCTTGCATCAGCAAAACTTGAAGCTGTACAAGGCTTCTCGTTGAAAAGTTTCAATAATACAGACCAGTTTTTTACGCCAGTGCTTCAGCCTTCCATGTTCACAGGCCAGGTCTGTGAAGACCAAACAAAAGAAGAAAATCAGTTCTTATAATTTAAGTAAGAGGAAAGATCAGTGTCTTCCTCTTTGAGAGGAACCACACTAAAAACTGCATTCACTCAGAAGAAGGAGAGTGGTGAATTTTCCATTTTCAAAAAAATTCATGAGCATTTTTCACGTTGGAGAAATCAATCTGTGTACTCTGTTGCACAGGCACTATACCTGTCAAAAATTACCCTCAGGAGTGATAGAGTTCCTCATCTCAGATCAACTGCTTTGGTCAATGCAGCTACAGTACGTCTGCCAACCTGAAGAAAAATCAATGCACATGATCCTCCTAATGATCTGTCAGGAGCCTTTTGTCATGGACTGCCCTAAAATATGCCACAAGACTGCAGTGGTGTGATGAATATATGTGGGGATTTAGATGAGTCCTTGCCTTTTGCCCAGGCCTCTGGCAGCAGGTAGTAGCTTTATTGAGGTGTCCACTACTACAAAACTCCACCACTCTCATTTTCAAGTTCTTGAAAAATGGCTGATTTGGTCTATTATGGAATGAATTATTTATTTAATAGCCATAAAGCTAACAGACATAAGACTTAAACCAAACTAATACTACACAAGAATAAGGACAAAAAAATACTAATAGTGAGTAAATACAACATGAGGTTAAATTAATTAATTAATGTTATAGCTAGCAAAGAAATAATATAACTTAGGATTCAATGTATCTTACCATCCAGTTGTTGGTGGGGCACACATGGAGATCCTTTCCTTCAATCCCCAGGGAAACACTTCCCTAGGGAATTGTGTCCAGACTCTAGGGAGAGATCTCTACACTTTCAGGGTGTGTGTGTGTAGAAGGCTTCTGCCTCTAGTTTGTAGAACAGGGTTTCTTCTATTCTCCACAGTCAAGAATATTTCTTTTATCTCTTCCCACATCAAATCTTCAGACTAAGACGTTGATTCCTAGCTGAGGCCTGAGCCCTTTTGGTGCCAGATGCTCCCCTGCAGAGCCTTTCAGGCCAGGTTATCTCTGTATGCACCAACTCTCTGTGGTGGTGGGGGACAGGGGCACAAGTGGTCCCACAAGATGTCCTGCCATAAGTGGTCCCAAAGCCAGCTGAGAAAAGGAGTCTGCCCCATGATTCCTCCACAGAAAATTCTTCTGCTGTAGCAGAAATTTGGTTCAAATAGGTGAACTAAACATCAGCTGAGGAGGGTTTAACAGTGGAATTTGAGATAGATCTGATATTTGCGTTGATAGATGAGGTTGCTTGGAATGAGAATTTCTTTGAAAGTTTTCAAAAATCATACAAAACAATTCAGTCACTGATTCTGAACCTCGTGTTAAAATCATCCCTTTTCCATGACCCTTAAACTGCATGGTTTCATTTATTTAGATGGATACATTAAAACAACCATGGTGGAGATTGATTATGATTCTTTAAAAAGAAAGCAAAAACCGTCTACCAGAGCTGCTGTGAAACACACAGAGCAGGACCAAGGAACATATGATGATGTTGGACAGCAGGACACTACTAGCAGGTATGTATAAGGAATGTATGAAAAGAAACAAGTGATTCACCTGGGTCAGCCTAGACAGGGGAATTTTTCCAATGACAAACCCAGCTCTTGTCACAAAACAGCCATTTATTTAAGAAATGTATAACTATTATATGTAGCTATTCGGACTGAATAGTTAAAATTCAGTCTGAATAGCATATAATAACAGAGGAGTTAAAATGAATTCTGGAATCCAGCATCTGTAAGCACTCTTACTTAGGAGGAGCCCATACTAGAGGAAGAGGACCTACTTCATTGAAATCCAAAAGAAAAAAACCATACGGGATTACAAATCATTTGCAGGAATGATCTCTCTCTCTCTCTCTCTTTACTTGCTCTGTCTTTCAGTCACGTGCTCCCTTTTCTAAGATGCAAGACTAAAAGACTCTAAAAGCAATGGAAACACTTACTGCACCAGGGAACTCCTGATCACCCTCATTGCCCTCATGAGCCTTTGCATGAGTCTTTCACTCTTACTACCCCTTTTGTTTTGACAAGAAGGGACTTCTGAAATCCTGTCTAGGGTAACCCTTAAGAAGAGAGTGCAGATTATGAATTGAATGCTGAAACCAAGGCCTCTCAAATTCCATGAGATGGGTATAAGCTATATTTTTTTTTTGCTTCCATTGGAAGCTTCTTCTCTGTGGCAGTCTCCATGCATTTGCAGGGCAGTGCTACATTGCAGAGTCTCTTCTTCAATGTGTCATCTTTTTCATGTCATAATAGATCTGCAGCTAGAGAAGTGACAGATCCAGCAGCAGATCAGACTTGCTGGCAGGGAAATACCCTAGTGGTCTTGTTGCAAAACTCATGGCTATCGCACAGCCTAGCATGAAAGTAATTATGTTGCCATACCCCACAGGAAATTTGGCTGCTTACATGTGATTCAACAAACCATTCTCCATTAAATGTCCTGATGTGCAGAAACAGAGCCTGGGATTCAGATAAGAGATCTGCATATGGGTGTAAAGGATTTCAATATGTAGGACAACCATCTTGAAGCACTCAGCCATTACACCTGCTTTTACTGCTTCCCATGAGGCTCCTTAGCTTAGAGGCCTGCCTGGAATAACAGGACTGCAGCTGGCTGGATGATAGAACATCCCCATGAGCTTCAGCAGCAGCATGAGGAAAAGTCTTCCTTCAGGCTGGCATTTTTCATGCAACCAGTATAGCTTTGCGTGTGATGTTTTTCCAGGTTGCTCAGTATCAGTTTTCCTTCCAGCACATTGGTCCCATAGCATCATGACCTCGCCATGAGAGCCATGTTAGTTGTTCTAGGGTTCAGGTAATCTCAGCATTAGTTACTTCATTGCAGAAGTATCCTTGGCCAATCCTTTTCAGTAGGGCAAGCATTACAATTAGTCACCTCAAGGTGAAGGAATTTAGAAAATGTATTGCATTCAAAAGCAAACAATTGCACTGTTTTCTTACTAAAATAACAGTGTATTCCAAGGAGCTTCAAAGGATTAATGATTGGCTTAGATTCATTAAATCCTTTAAACTGTATTTTGACAATTTTTTCTTCTCTAGTGATTAATAACACTCTGTTCAGTTCATGAGCATGAAGTGTTGTAAGGTCTGACATATATCAATATGTTTTGAAGCCACTGGAAGAATGCCATTCCAGAAAAAAGCTCTTAACCGAATAGTATTATCTCATTATCAATAGTATTGCTAACATTCCAAAATTAATAAATGACTAGGAGTGTTGTATTCCAGTATTTCTTGGCACAAGAGTTTAACAAGTACCTTGTTTTGATGTATAATTTTAGGTAAGGCTTTGACCTGGAAATAATCTCAGCCACTATGAACCTCTCAGGCTTTTTTCAACTACTGTTAGAATGTTGGACTAATATGTACTCCTTCTATATTGTTAGAAACATACATTTATACATTTATATCAAAGCTAGTTGAGCAATAAATTAACTTGTTTACCATTTCATTTCAAGAAGATCACCTCATAAGAAATGAATCTAAAGGGTTTGGATGTACTCTGTAGTGCTCAGTCAGATTATATTTTTATTCCCATCAGCTCTGACTACATGATCTCCTGAGATCCCCTCCAACACAAATTATCCTATGATCCAAAGGCATATTTCATACTTTAAGATATCAACAGGAATATAAAATACATTCTAAATATTTTTGCCAAGGCCAAAAGCTTTAGAATTAGAAAAGAAGTGATGGGTGATCATAGTGTTTTCTTTTTCTGAAGGATGACTGCTTTTCTCTAAAATGTCTTTTGTTTGCTTTTCCAGTCAAAGTGGTGACCGAGATGGAGGTGAAAGTAAGTTCTACTTAAGTGTTTGGGGGGAATTTTTCTGTGTATTTCTTACCCTCACATTCTGACTTCTGCAGCTTCCATATAATGCAGTAATTATCAATAAGCAAGTTAAATGTCAGCTAACAGGCAACAAACAAGGAAGGGTAGTGGCCAACTAAACTTCCCCACCACCTATGGGAACTTGAGTGAGACAGAATGTTTGTCTCCAGATCCTGTGAATCACCAGCATGCCAGATGATCAAATTTTAACTTTTTACTTGTGTGTGAAGGCAAATCATCCCACAAAACAGCACAGATCTAACTGGAGAAATATTCACATGAGCAAGAGGTTTTCTACAGGAGAAATCCAGTTCTGAAACAGCCAGCATTACTACAAACTAAAGCTTCATTTTGCTGACAGAGTTAAGGGGAACTTCAATTGCAGCAGCACACTGGAGGCCCAACTGCAGCAGCTTCACGCTGTCAAGCTGACACATTCAAACCCAGTTTTTCCTTTGTTAGCATGTATATTTATGTAGCATTCTCTGTTAATCACAAGAGCACAGCTCATCTTCTCAGCTTTAAGTTTAGATACTGGTCATTGCAGAAGCATCCCCTGGCAGTACTGAATGGAGCATCTGCCAGCCAAGTACAGATTTCAGTGCCTACTCTGACCAGTGTCTAGAATTGGACAGGCAAACCAAGTTAACCCTGCACTGAAGGAGGTGGGACACAAAGGTCAAAACTGAGACCAAAATGGGGAGCTTACATTGCTTTTGTCTCTGACTACTTTGGATGAAAACAAGATGTCAGCTGCTGAGAGTGTTAGTCTGACATGTTCGATCATCACTTGAGTCACACAGGAAAACTTAAAAGTCATCATAAGGCCTGGGCCAAAATCAGCCCTTTAGAATTCCATTCACTATGGTCTAGAAACATTTGTTTTCAGTATCTTGTGATTGGCAGTGCCACATTTAAATGCTGTGGATGGCATTCTAAATTGGAATAAGTCTAAATTTCTGGTTTAATAAAGGGTCTGGGCTGGTTTACAGAAAGATTCAATTTGCAAGGATATTGCATAAACTGCACACACATCTGATATAGTAAAGAAGCCTATAATGAATACCTTATTAAGCAACATGAAATATAATTGCATTAACTCTCTATTTGATTTGTTAAAGGCATGTTCCCACCTCCTCCTTCTGATCAAGACATTTATGATGGAATTGATGACGAAGATGCTATAGCTAGGTATGTTTTTATATATTTTAAATAATTTGCTTCTTTGACAGAATGTTTTCAGTTTTCAATAGTTTTAAATCAAGCATAACAATTAGCAAGTATTAGGATGATCAGCAAGTTGGTATACATCAAAATGGATATGTGAAGCTAGAGAAAAGGATTCTTCAGTCTTTTGAAGAAGTTTTGTTCTGTAATTTTGATATGTCAGCAAAAGCAGTTTGCAATCACGAAAATGTCCCAGTTTCCAACTAGACAGAATAGGTCTGAAATCAAAATAAAGACTAAAATTCTAGGTTGCTCAGTAACAACATGAAAACAGTAAGCCACTAGATTAATATCTATACTATAAATACATCTCAGTAGCTACAAGTGGCCTAACATACATATTTCTAGTTTAGCATGTTAGCATTTGGGTAAGCAACTTCACTTCAGGAGCTAATGACAATTATGTGCATCAATGGGCCTTTTAATTTTACTGGGCCTTTTATGAAGAACAGTACATTTTACATTGTGATAATCACATGCATACTCCAAAGGTCTGTATCGCAGGATGAAGATAAGAATGGTATCTGGTCCTGGGGAATCTTGAAGAGACTAAAGGTCAAAGATGGCAAAAAGAAAAGTGTACGAGAAAAAACAGCCAAAGTCAATGAGGCAGAAGAAAATGAAAATTTGTTGTAAGAGTCTGCCAGGAAATCAAAGTGCACATTAACTAATTCTAATAAAGCATTGATCACATGCTACTAACATGTCCTCACAGCAGCCTAATGAATCATGCATCAAATTGCAGCTCAGGATGATACTTTCCTGCAAAAACACTGAGCTTTCTTTTTACTTGCATAATTATTCTCTTAACAAGCTGTATTTGTTGCAAAAGTCTGGTAATCAAAATATGCTGAATTCTTCTTTTGGTGAAAAGCAGCAGAATAATCTATCATCTTTTGCCACTGGTCATGTAAATTTGCTGTATACTCTGTTAAAATTTACTTTTCTCATCATGTACAGTACAATGTAGCTGAGATGAACTGGTAAATCTCGGCCCAATTATCAAAATTTTAGGAATAATATGCCAAACAGAAAAATGCAAAGATTGTCTTCTATCCATCTTACCTAGAGAATAAATCAGCAGGTGGTGATTTTGTCACATTCTTCAGTCATTTGGTTCTGAAACAGTTTACTTTAATTCAGTGACAAAATTAGATTTAGTCCCTAAGTATTGCTGGTGTTAGTGACACTTCAAAATATCTGGAGATTGCTTGAAACCATTGTGTTGCAAGTTTTTTAAATTATTTAGGTTACAAAAAAGGTTATTAATGTTATATAGACACTTAATGAGCTTTTTTTTCCCCCCCGCCAGCATGTCTTCTTCAACAAAGCAGTCTGGAAAAGGTAATTAATAGCCTATTGTTCAGTCTCCATATTGATTCCTGATTCTTTTTCTATATACATTGCTCTGTATCGTGCTAGTCACAAAAATACCATCCAAGGAAGGAAACAGGACTTCCTATTGCTTACCCCGTTCCAGTAAACAAATTTCAAATATTGTGACTGATCCGGCTGCAGACAAGGAGATACAGATACATTGCAAGCTCCCTGGTAAACAATTTAAAGTATTTAATGTGATTTTTCTACCGGAGATTTGCACTAGTCCATTTTATTTGCCATTAAATAGGAACAGATACCCCTGGAAATAAGCACTCAGTGAAAGACCTCAAAAGTAAAGAGAAATTATTTGTTTTATTGTTAGCACTTGCAGAGCCTCTGTAAAAGCACATACAAGCATCAGCTCAGTTCTGGAATAAAAAGGAAGTTCTTTGAATTTTTGAGTCTGCTTCCAGAACTGAGTTCTAAACCTTCTATATCCTGCTGATTTTTCTAGCCATTAGTTTGATGAGTCAAACAATTGATTTCTCTCTAGAAACATGCTGAATGTGATTGAAAAAGTATTCTTGAGCTAAGAATTCTCTTCACAGCTTTAGCATTGCAAGATGGCCTAAAAACTAACATACCCATGATTCATATCCACTTCCAAGCAATGTTGCATTGATCAGGATGCTATAGAAGTTATTGAATGTGCATAAAAATCAAACTCAGAAAATATACTTTAGTGCAATACAGTGGGAATTTGATTAATTAAAATGAAAATTAAAGGCTATCTCATGTGTCAAAACTTGCTTTAGCTTGAGCAGATTACAATTTCAGTGAATATCTGTTATTATTAATAAAGAATCTTAACCTGAAAAGGTTGGGTAGTGTTGCACAGGTTGTGCAAAACAGAGCCCAGAGTTACCATAGACAGTAAATGGCTACAGTACTTGCCATAATTTATCAATTTAGCTACATTGTAACACAATATATTCACGTCTCATTTTTTCACATAATAATATTTTGTTCTTTTGAACACTATTGTTTCAGATTATGGAGACAATGTTTATGATGATGTAGATTCTTCAGACTTCTCTGCTCCGCCACCTGTTTCCAGGCAAGTGAAAATATTACTTCCCTGATCAGAAATCTAATACACAGAGAGACATTTTTAAAGTATATACCACAGGCAGATTGCTACTAATATCTGCTTTATTTGGTGTTGTCAGGTTTTGTATTTCTCATAAACCTACTGCTGATAATGGCAGTTAAATGCTCTTTCTTCCATTACAGACTGAAATAATAATTAGACTATAGAATAAGTAGGCATGTTTTGCATGTCAACATATTCATTCCCTGATGGAAAAGAGGTAGAAAAGGTTACAGATCTTATAGACAGGTAATAGATTGTAGTTCTCTTTCTATCAAAATTTGGGGACTGTTAGGATAGATACTTTATCTCAGCTTCTGCAGTATTTTAAGAGAAAAGGACCCAGTGCCTGTGTTTAAAGTATGAAACATATTTGGAGGTGTAAGTTCAGCTTGAAAAACTTATCCTGAACCAGAAAATGATCATCATATCTGGAGGACAGTGTTGTGGGCACAGTTGCATCTGTGAGGATGACTATGACACGTCACATCCTGTTGTCACTCACTCCACTCAGGTGGAGCAACAGTGCACTACAATAATGTAGTTCAGAGATATAAAAAGAGAAAGATCTCTTTGGACTGTGTACCCAAAGGAAAATATGTGGAACTCCTAAGCTAAGTCTAGGGTAGGTCACACACACATACATTCATCATCAATGCAACTGTCATCCCGCCGAGATCAGCAAGGATCAAGAGTCAGACTTTACATTCCCAGGTGCATCATCACAAAGGGCAGTTAGGGCATGAAACCCTTCCACGGTCTTTGGCAAAAGTCAGTCCTATCAGGGATGTGCAAAAAACAACAGAACTTGAAACAGATTATTTAGTGCAGGTTCCCTGGTGTAGCAAAGTCTTCAGGCACATAGGGCTAGGTTAAGATGTTCCAGCTGCCTCCACAGTGTGACATGTCATTCAGCTTATTGCCCAAAGGTGCACAATCTTCCCAAAAACTGATCCTTACTGAGAGATTCTAAAGTGTCTTAGTAGATAGATACTTAAAATTAATTTTTGATAGTCACTTATGTGTTAGCTATACAAATATCAGAGAGAAGTAGGAAAGACAGCCCCAACTTTTTTACTTATTTTGAAGTCAAGTCTGTATTGTATTCTCAGTATTGGTTTTTCAGAGCAACAAAAAAACATGATAAAGACACATGAAGGCTAATGCATTTTCACCAAAATTATTGGAAAGCATGCCTCTGATATATTCCTAATTTCATTTTTATCTGTAATCTCTTGATTTAGTTCATCAAAATCAGTAAGCCTTGGAAAACCAAAGTCAGATGCAAAGTACGGACAAAAGCTCAAGAAGATGGAAAAAGAAGAGAAAGAGTTCAGAAAAAGGTTTAAAGTAAGTTTTGTTCAAAGTGTTTTCTTCACATAAGATATAAAAACAAGTATCTGTGTAGCATCTTCTAATTTGTTCCCCATAACTTGCTTTTGAAAGGGAAAGTATTACTACATGTATAAATAAATAGTGATCTGAGCATCTCTAAGTCCAAATGGCAAGTATGGGCACATACACATATTGCAGCATATACAAATATTTGTTAATTTTCAAAAATTTAGTAATAAATGGGAATATTAATGGGAAAACACTGATGGGTTCTAACCGTGGTTTGGGGATGTTTTTTCTCCTTTTCAGTTTGACAGTGAAATAAAAGTTCTTTACTCTACAACCACAGTCCAGAATTTATCTCAGAAAAGATGGTGGTATAAAGACTTACAAATTAAACCAGGGGAATCTCTTGACATTATTGAAAGTACAGATGATACCAAGGTCCTTTGCAGGAACAAAGAAGGAAAATGTAAGTTTTGTTTAAAAACTATTGTACATATCAAATTGTCAGAGAATGGTTGAGTAGGATGTGTAAAACCTCTCTTCCCTGGTTTACTGAGGTTTACCTTGCCTGGTGGTTGACAAGAGGCAGATTGTTATTTTATTACTGTGTTTTAACACTGGCTTGCCTTAAAAAAATCCAAACCTCTTCCAGTGGACAAGATATACTAAGTATTAGAAAAAAGGGCCATTTTTTTTTTTGTTAAGTTTTTTTTTTTTTTTTGCAGCTAGGATCAGCAGATGTTTTTCTTGCTTCTGTCTCTCCCCCTGTGCCAAAAGGAATGTAGCTGTGATAGCCCACTGAGTGTGGTAAAAGTAAAGTCCTTGCTGCACCTCTGGATAGCACTAGCCCATTAATTGCAGCCAAGAGAAAATCAATAACTATGTTCTTACTTTGGAAGAGATGCAGTTTAATCTTTTCAACAGACTGGGGGGAACATTGCTTTGGAGTCTTCCCCCAGCTTCCAGCTAATCCAAGGCATATGTCCTTGCTGGCATATCTGCTTGTTCTGGGAGCTGCACAAGGCCTTTCAGTGTTTCTTTGAAATCCTTGGCCAGGATTTGCACTGGCAGAAATTTTTGAATTTTTTGAGAAGTCCAAAACCATCTCCTGATGGTTTCAATTTCATAATGAGCTTCTGTTACACTACTTTCCAAATCTCCTAGTGAAAATTCACTTTGTTCTTGAACAGCCTGCTTTCAAAGTAGCAGCATCCTCCTGCTCACCTTTCTTCTTTACCTCTGACTCATGTAGAAGACAGTCCAATGCTATAAACATCTGAAGAGGATTCAGCCACCTTCCTTTTATTTTTTTCCTCCTGTACTCAACTGTTACAGTCTGGAGTACAGTCTTCTTCCTGGCAGGCCTGCAGGGAGAGGAAGAATTTCTTGCATAACAACACATATGTTTTTCAAAATATGGATTGCACTAGTAGAGCCACTTCCCAAAAAAAAAAAAAACAGCTTTCAAAGCCACATTTTTTGAATCAAGCTAATAACAAAGTAGAAAGTAGTTCATGTTGGCTGTTTTCCTCTCATAGTCTTCAAAGCCTTTCAAATAATGGCAGGAGCTACTGCTTTGCTATGCATAAAAGAGCAAAACAAATAAAAATATCCTCCCTGAAAACCTCTGAATAGATCCCAGTCAATTTACATATTAGTTAGCGAAGTTTGAATCCTTAACTTTAGTTAAGTGCATGACAGTTTTGTTTATTTGCTCTAGTTGTTCTAGTTCCTCAGATCTTAAAGCTGTTATTTTACCTTCTGAAGGCCAGGTAGACTGAAAATCCACAAGTAAAGACAGTTTTGTTATTTTCTTGCACATGAATTCTTTGATTTAATCACTAACTTGTATGTAGCACTTCCATAGTTTCCAACAATTAAATAAAACAACAATTTATATTTCAATGTATTCTCACCTTTTAAAGCAAGGGCTGATGATCTTAGGAACATATTCTGCTATGGCTTATTTTAAATGTTATGAAATTATTTGAAATTCCATAAGTGAAACAAGGAACTGATTTTTATCTACCATCTCAAATTCCTTCTTGGTCTGAACTCACACATTTTGAAATACACAAAAGCTTTCAATTCAGCTTTGTAGATTTTGCTTAATCATTAGGACATAAATGGACTTCAGTGGCCCAAAGTCTAATTTTTGACCTCTCTGAGTTTCCTTTACATTGTCAGTGAGCAGCTGGCACGATGTGTTATAGCTTTCAGTGCTTGATCAACATGGAGTGCGCTGACCTGCTGGCTTCTTCCTTATTTGGAAGTACCATTAAAAACATAACAAATTATTTAGAAACTGAAACTTTGGACATGTTACTTTAGTAAATCTGAAAGAGTGTAAAACCAGCAGGGCTTGTATCTCCCACATATTTAAGGGCCAGTAATCACCAGAAGAACTCAGATAATGCTTTCCAATGGTAGAAGCACTGTCACATGCACATGACTTCCAAGAACACTGTGTTTGTATGCCATGACTATGAGCAAAGAAATTTTGTGTTCACATATTTCACTTGAGAAAATTATATGAAAAATTAGAGAAGCTTAGGTTATCCAAATGACTTTAAATTATTTCCTGGAGACTTCAAGAGTCATGGAAAATATTGGACTGTCCTATAAAGAATTTTGAAAAAAACATGTCTTTAAAAAATTTAAAAAATCAATTTCTATTGTCTTTATTCCAGAAAATAAAAACTGAGGAAAGACAACTGAGCTAAGATGTCCTGAACAGACACTGCTAATGATTAAAAGAAGGACATTTACATAGTAATTTCAAATTCAAGACAAGATCACATTTATTCCTTAGAACTCTCCTAATTTCATACCAGCTTACTAGTGTTTACATACAAATATGTAATTACTGTTATGGCTCTCTCTTTTTTTTGTATTCATTATACCAATTGAAAAGTATTTCAGTAGATATCTTTCACCAAAGACAGGAAATAATTTTTTTTTTAAAGAAATTATATACATTAAAAAAGAATATGTGTAATTTTATCTGATTTCTTTAGTAATGCCCCAGAGTAATAGAATAATAGTCAGTATTTTTTCTAAAGTATTTCCATTATTATATCCATTATTGATCTTATTAATGTTACAGTTAAAATTTTAAACTGTTGCATGTAATAATATTTAATTGGAGTACACATCTTGAAATACATTTTTCTTCTTGTATGAAACTCTAAATATTTCTGTTACTTAATATTACTGCAAATATTATTATGTTGTTATTAGTATACTACATTTTTGTGCTGTAGTTTTTGTTAATAACTGTTGTTTCACATCCCTCTCATGCAAACAAGAAACTGAAATACAAGATGAAAAGCTAATCTTGCATAACCTCTATTACTATTTAAGTAGGCAAAAAAGAAAAAGCAAAACATTGGACACAGCAAAATCTTCATCGACTAGGTGCCCATTGTACATAGTTTTCCATCTATTATGTCTTTCTGTCTGAAGTATATAAAAGAGAAAAACTGCATTTCATTAGTGTTAGCAACAAAGGTAATAATGAGTATTTCAATTTAACTTAAATACATCTATATTTCATTTTACAGATGGCTACGTTCTGAGAAGCAATTTAGTTCAGAAGTAAGTATAAAGAGAGAATTTTGAAAAATTTGTTGTAACACTTAATTTTCTTCTAAATGGTCTAGTAAAAAAAGTAAAATATAATTATTTTAGTCTGTCATTTTAGAGTTGAGAATTGAGTTTTTTCAAGGAGTTAGGTTTGTCAAAAATTAATCACACACATCCATGCAGGAAATTTGCCGTTTCATTCCTCATTGCTTAACCATAGGCTCTGGTTAAACCATGAAAAATCATATAAATTAAGCATCATTAGCACTAGACTCTATTACTGAACAGCAAATTAATGTGGTTAGGTGTATTGATGCCTTTTTCAAATGTTTAATTAAAATGGACCAAATTTTCTTTAGGTTTGTTTGTACTTCAGTCTTAGTGGGATAGAGATTTGGCTCAGTGTTGCTCCAAGTAATTGCATGGAGCTCAGCATTTTGGCTCTAATCCAAAACTCTTGTCAGACAAAGCCTCTCCATTTCCTTCAAGAGGCTTTTCGTATTAGACCCTTAAATATCAAATCAGATATCACTTTTAAAATTGTGACTTTTAGAATTTAGAGGCATTTAACACTCACACACATATTTGAATTATATGTATAAACAGTTTTACTGTTGTCCATGGGCCTGTCCTTGTGTCTTAGTCACATATTTGAAAATTCCTATTCATGGACCATGTATCTTTCATAGACATTATATAAATTCATTACATAAAAAGTAGCACCTCCAAAACTATTATGTAATTGCTGAGTACAGAAACAAAAAGAATTTCAAGGGCATACTGACTGGGTTTTTAAATTCAATTTTTCTGGTGACCATTTTTAAAGAAAAATTAAGTATTTAATTTCTTTATGGAAATAACTCTATGAGAATATCTATGTAAAAATGTAATAAATAAAATGGACTTTTAATAAAGCAACCTTTTCATGTTAGAAAGAAATATATCTAAGTCTACACTTCACTGAAAATATTTTGGCCTGACCATCATGCTCAACATAGTTCCGTTATTACAAATAATTAACAAGTTAATTATTTGATAAATTGCCTGCAGCATTCTGCTACTGTATTTTTAATACATATCTGATGTTTCAACTTTTAAGTATACTATTTGTCTTTTTTAACTTACAGTGACGGAGAGATTTATGATGATATTGGTGACGGTATGTTGAACATTTGGAACAATACTTCATTTCTATTCAATTACAATAAATAACTTTATCTTTGTGTTGAAGTACTACATAATATTAATAGTTTTTCATTTTATTTCCATTTCAGATTGCATCTATGATAATGACTCTGATGCTGAATGCTCTTGAAGTAACAACTTCATTGAAGATCAAACTCTAGTTTGGAATCTCACTTGTGAAAGCAAGAAGAGTCACAAATGCTGATTGCAAGTTAATTGGTGTCTCTTTTAAATACACAATTAATCTTTTTTGGGATTTCGGCCTTTTGTCCTCCAATGCTTTGTATAAATTTGTATTCCCATTTATCTGAGCATTTAAAATTGAGGAAATACAAGCAAAAGTCAGAGTTATAATTTTTCACTTCCTTTTCATATTTCTGACCGTCCATGTAGAAACACATTTTTAATTATTTACTCCCACAGAGGCCAGTTCACATCTGTGAAGGGTCCAGAGGACAACAATCTCTGACAACAGGTTTTACTCTGACTTTCACCTACTAAGCACCAAAGACAGCCACTCTGGGTAGGACAGTATTCTGGAAAAAAAAAAAAAAAAAGATGATAACATACTATTGTGAAAAAAAAGAAATTAAAAGTTGTTAAGAGGAGAGAATACATCACTGACCTGCCATTCCAGCTGCAACAGTGTTAGCTACACTGACATATGCAGCCATGTTCCATTGTTTCAAAAGTCTATTTTTCCGTGTTGTACTAATGATAGAATATCATTCTCTAAGATTTATCTGAAGTCTACTTTAGAGTATTGTGTTCTACTTTATACTGTAGTGTTGCTCAAAATATACTCAGAGCATTTAGGTTAAGATTTAGTTTCTGTTTAGTTTGAAGATAAGTTGTCACTATAGTAATATAGGTATTACAAGCTATAAACTGTTTGGAAATTACTTCTAGACTAAATATGTAGGTGTATTTGTCACTCTATTTTGATAATGCCCTTTTTTTCAAAGTATTGTAGTTTACTACTAGATTTGGCCAAGAGTACAGAAGTCAAATATTTCCATGCTTATCCATTGTAGAAATAACATTTATTCCTAAAGTTCATTTTTGATGCTGTTGTATGAATGACTAAGTTGTAAATAAAAGCAAAGTCAACAGGTAACTCATAATGATAAATATCACTTTATCCTTATGTATCAGAAGTCACTGGAAATCAAAAGACCTTTACAGTAAGCTCACAATAAACAGGGTGAGTGTGTGCAAAAAAATGGAACATCTATTGATTTTGCTGCAGTGCAAATTAATCAAAAACCTGTAATGACCAATGTGGCTGGATTGGTGGAAGCGGCTAGCGGCTACTTTTTATGAACGAGTCTCATACAATGCTGAAGGGAAGTCAGGTACACTGTGCAACACAGCCAGTTTAGTTTATAAACATAAACATAAAAAATGTTGGCTCTGTTAAGTCAGTGACTTTTGGTCTCACCTTCAGTGAAGCTGAGATTCCGTCTTATAAAAGTGTCTTTTATTGCTGCTTCCAAATACAGTCATTCTCAAAGGAGGCATAATGCAGTGGGGATATCAAACATAAAATTAAGAGATAGTGGCCTATAAGCTATTTTGTACTGTATATAAAATCACTGATAGCATACTGAAAAGCTATATGCAACTTGACTTCTCTTTCTATTTGCTATTTATCTTATGTATTTACTATTCAACCAGCATTCAGGCATCAAATACCAATTTCATGTGTAAACATCAGCTGCAGCACCCAAATATAAAACATGACCATGCATATTAAGTGCAATGAATATGTGTGACTATTTGACTGTCACTGCTAATGGATTATTTATTTTTCAGCAGCATTCAAGAGGCTGTCTGCATTAAATTAGTGATACGCCAAAGAACTGAGTGGGCATGCAGGCAACTAAACAACTGCATAGTTCTTCCATGTTCTTAGTGTTAATGTGTGTAGGCACTGCAATTCTGTATCAATAAGACTGACTACATTGGCCATATGATACATTAAATAATGAAAAGAAATAAATATATTTATGGCTAAAACTCTATTTGCTGCTTGTTGAAATCAAATATTATGTGGTTGCTGCACGCTGTTAAAATGAACTTTTAAAATATTACTCATTGAAAATTAGTGGCATTGTATCTTTTAACTTTTATTACTCTGGGATGCTTTTTTGTATTTCTACTGAATAAAAGTATTTTTTCTGAATAAACATTTTCTTAGCAAGAAATGTGGGTACACTGTCTTCTGTCAAAATAGAGCAACAGTAGCTGAACAGTAACTTCTGAAAATTATCACTGAGCAGCTAACAAAGTGAAAATCAACTTTGTTATTGTTGCAAAGGCTGCACAAATGCAACGTGGCACTTGTTAGTAATTGCTGCACAGAAAATGAAATGTAAGCAGAAAATCTTCCAGACAAAGAAAATCTATACTTAGGCAGTCTATATTCTAAGGGATTCTCACCTGTAATTTATTCTAGTATATTTTAAAAGACATAAAGAAAGAAATGGAAAGCTGTTCACTTGATATTTTTCCTCCTCCAAATTCAGTCTATAATCCTGCAGTATTTGGCTGTGCCTGCTAAAAGAGTCAGCAGTGAAAACATCAAAATATTGACATAAAAATTAGGTTTCAGCAAGAACATCCTAGTTAGGGTAAACAGAGCTGGTTTCCATCTGTGTTGTACCTCTGTGCTGTCCCAGTAAACAGGCTCAGCAAAACCAAAACTGGGAAGGCAAAAAGACTTCTCTAATTCAGTAGCTTTATAACATTTCTCTGCTGTTACCGCAGGCTCTGGACTGAAGGAATGCAGCTGATCTCCTGCACATTCCTGTGTAAGAGGTTTATATTCTCGATCCACATAATTGCAGATCCCCTGGTTACTCCTCCAACAGTCAAAACAAAATTTCCTCTATGTGTGATCCCTTTGCATAATCCATTTTCAACTGGAAAGATCAGTACTTTAGTAAGAGCATGGAAATTCAGGGGTGGAATGTAGATTCTCTGTGTGAATTCTCTGTGTAACACCCCTGACCACTACATGACTCTACAGCAGATACCATTGTAAGCACATGTGTGTGTAGGAATGTGTGCATCTGTTGTGTGTGAGTATACTTCATGCACATATTAAGGCAAATTCTGAGAAAACTAATGGACCCATAAAAGGGCACCTTTATGATTTCTGTACAGCAGCCTCAGACCACCCTGCACAGAAAAGCTTTTTCATTTAGTGAAAAAAAACCTCAAGTGCTAGGAGAGTCAATAGATGTGCTTGTATTTGCACAGCCTCTGTTCTGACTCCTCGTGTGGATACATCGTTAACTGTGTGCACAGTCTATAATTACATGATGGTTCAGTATTTTTTTTTCCACAGGATCCCTGCCTCATTTAGTGCATGGGCTGGATGAGAACTAATAGAAAAAGCAGTTTTTCAGCCCTGCTCATTCAGTTTCTGGCCACTCCTTCATTTAGTGGAAATCTTCCCCAGCTTATGCTGCACCCAGAATTATTAATTTCTCATGGCATTCATCACAATGATATCTCACATTCCCTTGAATAGGAATGGATTTATCTTGCGAGAGAGGAAAACATTTTATCCCCATTTTAATGTATGAAAGGAAGGCACAAAAAGAGAACAATTTGTGGCACATATCCATTAATCCTGTATATAAAACCAAACCACTGAAGCTAAATTAAATTTTTTGTACTTTCCTAGATTGGGATTCCCACTATTTTATCTTCCTGTTCTTCACCTCTGCTTACGGTTAAATACAAAGATAAGAGAGACATCATCTTGTGTTTAAAAAGTAATAGCATGCAAAATTTATACTGTAAATAGACTACAGAATTACAGACTTTCCAAATGCTTCTTGAATTCTGGCAGACTTGGTGCTGTGACTGCTTCCCTGGGGAGCCTGTTCCAGTGCTCAAGCAATCACTGTGAGAAGAATCTTTTCCTAACATTTAAATCTCCCCTGACTCATCTTTGGGTCAATCCCTCAGGTTCTGTCACTGGTCACCACAGAGCAGAGATCAGTGCCTGCCCCTTTGCTTCCATTCATGAGGGAGGGAGCTGTAACTGCAGTGAGGTCTCCCCTCAGTCTCCTCTCTCTGGTCCTGGCTGAACAGACCAAGGGACCTCAGCAACTTCTCATATGGCTTCCCCTCCAGACACGACCACCTTTCCTTCCTTTGGACAATCTAATAGTTCAACGTCTTTCTTACACTGTGGCACCCAAAAGTGTCCCCAGCACTTGAGGTGAGGCCACCCCAGTGCAGAGCAGAGCGGGACAATCTCCTCCCCTGCCCAGCTGTTGATGCTGTGCCTGATGCCCCCAGGACAGGGTTGGCCCTCCTGGCTGCTGCCAGGGCACTGCTGATGTTCAACTCACCATTGACCAGGACACCTTTCTGCAGTGCTGCTTTCCAGCACCTGATTCCCAGTTTGTCCATACATTCAGGGCTGCCCCATCTCCGGTAGAGGATCTTCTCTGCTTTAGGGGGAGTCAACAGCTCCTCCCAGTTTTGCATCATCTGCATACTTGCTTAGTATCTATCCAGTACTGCGTCCAAGTCACTTCTGAAGATGTTGAAGAGCACAGGGCTGAGGATGGAGCCCTGTGGAACCCCACTAGTGACAGATTACCATGTCATTAGTGATAGGTCAGATCTCACCTGTCACTGTAACCTGATGTCACCCCAGTCACTGTAACCCCTTGTGCCCCACCCATAAGCCAGCTGCTCAACCATCACAAGATGTGTTTATCCAGTTGTGGGCTGTAAATTTTGTCCAGAAGGCTCCTGTGAGAGTATCAAAAGCTTTGCTGAAATCCAAAAAGATTGTATCAACTGGCTTCTCTTGATCAACAACGTTGGTTACCTTATAATAAAAGAAAATCAGATATTAACTATGTTTACAGTAATAAAAAGGTGAGTAATTAGAGAATAGTAATTAAAATTTAATGTAAATAATAGGTTAGACTATATTGAAAAACCATAAAAAGTGAGGATGAATATTAGAATTTAGTGGTCCACATTATTACACTTTATATCCATTGCTATCTTGCAGCTCCCATGTTAACAGGCAGTTTGTTGGTATGGTTTTGAGTGATGTCTGTGGCTCTCACCAGAATTAAACCTTTATGTGTATATGGTCTGGTATAGCCTGGTCCCAAGGCTGAGACATCTGAACCATCTTTGAAAGAGCCAAATTATTTATAAGAAGTAATTCACTCAGGATAGCAGCATAACCCTACAAACTCTCCACCCTGACTGCTTAGCCTGGCTAAGAAATAAGGCTATAGTGCAAGATGAAGGGTCATCTTAAGCAATTTCCAGAACCCTAGACACTTGGGAACAATTTCAGTGCCACTCTGATTAGCCATGGTACTGCAGAACACCCCCTAACTCATGTTCTAACCTCGTGCTGAGCAGCACTGTGGTAGCCCCCAGTTCCCTGGGGGCAGCAAAGTACAGTGATCTCATAGTTTTCCTTCTCTGTGTTTCATTCTAGATAGATGACTCCTAAACATACATAGAATTTGGTAAATAATTTTTACTTGCCTCCTTTGAAAGCACTTTGAGAGAGAAGACTAAGATGCTAATAAATGTATAAAGTTTATTGCTGGAGGCTTTTTATATTGTGGGCCTTGCACAAAGAATATGGGACACTGTATCTTTTCTCTTAACACACAGACACATAAATATTGCTTGAATTTAAAATACTCAGAAAGTAAGTATGCAAAATGTCAACACAAACATGAATGAAATGCTAATTAGATGGATACCAAGGGTTTTAAGAAATATTAACGATTTGCATTACTTCAGTAATAGCACAAAATCCTGCTGCTCAGGAATCATGAGACAGGAAAAGAAAGGAAAAATTAGCACTGGCTATTTTCCCTGCTTTTTTTAACTTTTTTTTTTCTTTGGCCTGATTCCTGATTTTCAAGTTCTCAGCAGAAAAAGCTGCCTGATCCTTCATTTACGTGTAGGTGTGCTTCAGGTGGAAAATGTACACAAAACACAGACACACAATACGAGGCTCTCGTCCATTTTTGCTGCTGACAGAAGGGACACCCTGCCAAGCTCCCTTCCCTTCTCCTGCGTCTCAGCTTCTTCCCTGTTCTCCTGCCTTGGACAATGTTGTCACACACCTTCCAGCTCACACAGGTAAGCCCAGTTTCTTCTTCTGTATTGATCCAAAGAAAATCTATATTTTGTTTTCATTACCTCCTTTCAATGCCTGACATGTTCTCTGTACTTTTTTTACTCAATTACTTCCTGTTCCCCATAATTATTCCTCTTTTCCTTGACCACCTGACCATGGCATTCTGTTCTTTGCTTTTCTTGCTTTTCTCCTTCCTTGTTCCTTTCTTTTGTCATCCTTTAAATTGTTCCCCTACTTCTGCATTCCTGCCCCTGGCACTTTCATTTTTATTCCATTTTTAAAAGCTGCTCTGTTTAAATGCCTTTTAATTGTTTTTTTTGTTTTGTTTTGTTTTTTTTTTTCAAGATTCCTAACTCTGTGGGTGACACCAGCAGAAGCACTGAGGAGACTTATAATTCTTGTATTTTGACTTCTAGACTGTTTATCCCACAGCATTTAAAATCAGATCAAACATACCTTCCTTTGCCCTCAGTATTTGGGGGAATTTTCTTTAGTACTGATGTTGGAATGCTATATATAACTAAATCTTTCAACTGCCAGTTTAAACTTAAAAAAAATTATTTTCTATCGCATCCCTTTTTTCTGCTTCTGTATTCATATTAAGTTACTTGCTACTGGCCATGTAAGAGACTGAAGCATGTTCTAATGGCAATCACTGGCTGCTGAGAATCTCCAATATCCAAATATTTCAGTATGGATACCAAGATGTATATCAGCATGGTTGTTGAAACGTTAGCCAGTGTTTGTCAGCCAGTGCCTAAAGAAAATATTAATGGGCTTCTTCAGTTCTTAAGAAAAGTCTATGAGTTACAAAAATAGTTTCTGGTGCCACATAGATTTTGCATCAGTAGATGAAAAATTATCCTTACATTGAGTTTCAGCACTATTACTGGAGTTTATTTGGACAGAAACAGCAGCTGTGTTTTGTTAAAGTTTTTCCTCAGGTGTAATTATTATGCCAGCCATACACAAACTAAACACCTGCTGCTTTTCACAGCTTCAATAGGATTATACAGTGTGGAATGCTGGGAAAAATCTTACATGA